AGGTCGTTTTCTTGCTTAAAAGGGTAAAAGCTATTTAAGAAATAGAATGGGTCAAGGTCGGCTTAGCTCTTTGTGTAGAATATCTATTCACAAAGATATCATTGAAAAGAAAGAGGAATCAGAGGTGTTGCATAACGAGGTGGTTGAAAATTTGTAGAAAAACCCAGGAGGCTGGCCTTTCTTTATAAATGATGAGTATAGTATGTGTTTTGATATTTGTTCGTATAATACATGGTACTTCATTGAGAAAATTAAGCATAACTTTAAAGAATAAAGCCATCCCTGTCTACTTGCCCCAATCTAAACAAGTTTAAACTAACAAGTAGAATGGTAAGAACAATCTCTATGCACTTTAGAAGTGTCGTATACTATATTATTTTTGTGCTAATACAAATTTCTTCTGTTTATGCAGGGCAGTGATGAGTAAATTATGTTTTAGGGGACAATTGTCTCCTGCGTAACGTTTCTCTGAGCCACCTTTAGTACCTTTTTAACTAGTTGCAGTTTCAACGATTGCCACAATAAGAATGCAGCTAACAAAAAGGGGTTTTTATAAATTATTGTACAACAAATAATTCGCCCTCGAAATCGCAGGAAATGCTGTTTCCAAGGCTCTGGATTTCAAAATTTTCAGGGGGAGCATGCCCCCGGACCCCCTAGTGGGGTCGTGCCTCCGGCGCAAGATGGATTGGCGGGAGTGACTATTTTTCCTAGCTACGCCACTGTCATCAATTAAGACCATATCTAAATGCTACAGCAAGGTGCGACTATACCATTTAAGGAAAACAACCACAGAAATGGAAACTAAAGATAAAGTGCGGAAGAAACTAAATAGACTTGTCTTGTTTAAGCATCAGTAGTACTTTGCTCATGAAAAAATGAAGTTACAGGAAAAATAAAATGTCAACAATCTCTCAACATAAAGAAAGAATGATAAAAAAGGTAACTCACCTCATTTCTTCAGAACTGAAACGTATACTAGATCATAACTCCTCAGAAATTGGAAAGCGAGCAGTGAACTATCTTGCATTGGCAACGATGGGACAAAATACATTCTCGCATGTACAACTTTTAAATCCCCACTAACGTCGATATTTTACAGCTATCGGAATCATTTTGATGTCAAATCGATTCGCATAACCTGTTTTATCCATGACTAATAGTTGAGGTTAGTAAGGGGTCGCGAAAGGTCTTAAATATTCGAAAATCCATGTTTGTAAACGTTATCCGCCATACATTTCTATAGTAATTTGTATCTCGCCGTGGTAACCGGAATTGAATTTTACATATATAATTAGGCTTCACTTTTGCTACCTGTAGAAGCTATATCCAGTCTATTATCAGATCAGTGGTGTATACGTATTACTTCCAACCTTTGTTTTCAAATCAAAAGTGATAATACCGATGATGAAATGATTCAATGTCGGTAAAATCGAAAACGTTATGACAACAACAACCGTTCGGATCTTTAAAACTCGTGTATTTTCAAATAAATATAATTCCAATAAATACGGTTCAACTTCCTTTGAACATTTATATCCATCCAAAATAATAGGGATGATCGTCAGTGGCGTAGCTAGGAAAAATAGTCACTCCCGCCAATCCATCTCGCGCCTCCGGCGCGACCGCACTAGGGGGGTCCGGGGGCATGCTCCCCCGTAAAATTTTGAAATCCAGATCCTTGGAAACAGCATTTCCTGCGATTTCGAGGGCGAATTATTTGTTGTACAATAATTTATAAAAACCCCTTTTTGTTAGCTGCATTCTTATTGTGGCAATCGTTGAAACTGCAACTAGTTAAAAAGGTACTAAAGGTGGCTCAGAGAAACGTTACGCAGGAGACAATTGTCCCCTAAAACATAATTTACTCATCACTGCCCCTGCATAAACAGAAGAAATTTGTATTAGCACAAAAAATAATATAGTATACGACACTTCTAAAGTGCATAGAGAGAGATTTTTCTTAGCATTCTACTTGTTAGTTTAAACTTGTTTAGATTGGGGCAAGTAGACAGGGATGGCTTTATTCTTTAAAGTTATGCTTAATTTTCTCAATGAAGTACCATGTATTATACGAACAAATATCAAAACACATACTTTACTCATCATTTATAAAGAAAGGCCAGCCTCCTGGTTTTTCTACAAATTTTCCACCACCTCGTTATGCAACACCTCTGATTCCTCTTTCTTTTCAATGATATCTTTGTGAATAGATATTCTACACAAAGAGCTAAGCCGACCTTGACCCATTCTAATTCTTAAATAGCTTTTACCCTTTTAAGCAAGAAAACGACCTCTCTACTGAAGCACTTGCCACTGCCAACACACCATTCAATTTTAACAAATTTACCACTTGACCTAAACTCGACTGGAGATTAAATTTGAAGATGTATTTAAGAACCCCATTACTGCACTCTTTGTGAAAGTCCTTGTCGTTGTAAATGAAGGAAAGTTGACTCTCCAAAGTTTGGATGTCAAAAAGAGGACTATACTTATCTTTGAGAAGATTGATCTTCTCCTGTGGAACTATGCCCTTCCATGTGGTAAATAGTTTAGGATTTACAAGGTCTAAAAACTCGAACTGATTAATATCTTGAAATTGTTCACTTAACATGCCTTTAATGGAATCAATAATCTCAAAATAAAGCTGTTTGTAATTGTATCTACTATCTGCTCTGGTTGCTGGTGGGCCTACTTTTTCTAGTGCAGTTTGGTAAAACTCGGTGAAAGCTTGATCTGTGCGAAGTGACACAATAAACTGCTTGAAATTGTCAATCTTGCTTATGCCATAGTTAAAATGGGTTTCCCTATTTGAAGAATGGAATACAAAATTGTGGACTGTTCTAAAATCCTGTAAAAAACACACACTAAAAAACAAAAGAGAAAGCTATCAAGATAATGCAGTAAGCCACTTATTTTACTTAATGACTCATCATCCCACCCAGCTAGTTGTTCAAGTACCCCCTCAAAAATATCTAAAAGTTTTTCATAGTTTTTGTGCAATACATTGATTAATCTAGAGCGATAACACCATTATGTTTCACCAGGGTCAGGAAACTCAAGGTTGTTAGATGTGAGAAAAGCTTTTCTTTTTGGGGCATTGCTTGTAAATAGGCTGAATGTAGCGATATTAATAAAAAAGATTTTAACAGGAGAAATTGATGAGGCTGACTGGCATAGGACCAGGTTCAATCTATGAGCTGCGCAATGAACAAAATGAGCAAAAGGATACTCTTGTCGAACCAATGCTTGAACACCATTGATATGGCCAGAAATGACAGAAGCACCATCATATGTTTGTAAAACCAGTTTTTCTTTTATATTAGAATACTCACCAAGTTTATCTTTGACAACTTGTGATGTTGCTGTGGCATTTTTGTTTCATACTTACATCCACAAATCCTAATTGCCTCTCCATAATTTCACTTGCTTTGTCAAACCAAGCAATAACACTTAGCTGCTCTTTGGCGGCGACATTAGATGCTTCATCAACCTGAATACTCATAAATGTGCAATCATTTATTTCCTTCCTGATTTCATCTTCAATAATTGAATCAAGACAGCTGATAAGACCATTTTGAATTTCTGGGGAGACTCCAGTAAATCTTCTGTCACCAGCTATATCAGATTCTGCTAGTCTACTGTGCAGTCGACGCTCAAATACAGAATCAAACTTAGCAAAACATTTGAGCAACTCTCTATAATTACCTTTGTTCAAGCTACCTTCGGACTCATTGTGACCTCTAAATGGCAACTCTTGCTTTGACAAATACAGCAGGGCCTCAATAACAGTTTTTAAAATTTCTCGATTTTGTCTTACCTCCTCATTGTGACGCTGAATCTCATTTCTTCTAGCGAGGGACATAAGACAATCAATTCGTTCACTAGCTCCATACGTTTTCCATGTCTTAAAGGCAGTCAAATGCGATTTAGATTTTTCATGCTTCTTTGCATCAGACATAATACTCCGCATATCGTTGTAGCCATTCTTAGTCCACGATGGCGATGTTTTTGGGGAAAACATTAGACATGGCCAACAAAACACTTTCTGCAAGGTTGTACTATCACACAGCCAGTCCTTCGCCTCATACCAATCTCTCTGAAATGCTCTTCCCTTATTTTGGATAGTTAAATCAGGAGTAGGCCGTTCATGAACGATAACATTCTGTTAGACCGACGATCGAGCAGAGAACGGTTTAGCTAATAAGCTATTTACTAAATCAACATCAGTTGAGCAAATCGCAGTCGCACTTGAAGCCATTGTGTCATACACAAATACAAAATAGCAATTTGAGAGTAAACACATAGATATAGTAGGACTAGATTGCTAACGAGCCGCCATATTGCGTGACATCCATGATAAATCCAAGATGGCGTGGGAACCGGGCAAAAAACATGGAGTCACTATAGGGCAATTGATGTTTTTCGCAATTTACTTCTTCTCATTGTTTTCAAACTCTTCCGATGAAGTTTTATTGGGAACAAATCTTTATTTCAAGTGTTTTGAAACCATATTGGACAGTTATAATTGAAATACGGGTGAAAATATCGCTTTCGAAATATTGTGTAAATTGGTCGTTTGGTTGTCTCAAGTTGTTTGTCCACTAAGAGAAACAGATTTTTTCAGCTTTACTCCCATACTGATTTGTTGCGCATCGTAATATGTCATATTGACAATTTACAGAGAGATTGGGGAATCAATCTGAATATTTCTGATAAAAAAGCGACTTATTCGAGAAAGCACTCCAACTGTACTCGTACTGATATGTGAGATTCAAACACGGTTTAGAAAGGCCATCCGACTTTGAATGAATGAAAAGAGGAGCAAGGAGATACATAACACTGTAGCACTATTATCTACTGACAAGATCTTAGTGAAGCTATTAAAGTTAGTAAACCTAACTGAAGGAAACTTGCCTCATATCAAGTAATTGTATCCAGGAGCATTGGCTACACTGATGAGATCTTACAGCTAAGAGGTTCAACGAAAGAGAAGGAACTTATGTTCAGAAGCTTGTTATATTAACAGTGGTTATTTCAAAATCTGACATAATTACATTCAAACACATAACCCAAGATACTGTTACAATACTATTTTTTGAGATAGTTATAAAGCTCTGTATAAAGTATTTTTTTACTAGAGCTAAGGTGTTCATTAAATTTATATATTATCTTATGAAATATTTGATATGGATGTCATCGGTGGCATATCCAGAATGAATGTTTTACACTTGCTATGTAAATTTCACTGCATCATTGCTCATTTCATTAGAAATCTATTGTTTTTACAGTAAGTGAACACAGCAAGATTAAGATAGCATGAGCAAATAAAAATGCTGGTTATGGCTGAGATTATTATAAGATATAGCTGTGAATAAAATATATGTGACTTTTATGCTTATCATACTTAGTTATTGTATATGTTTTTATTATGCTATAGCTACAACACCATCTATGATACCAGTTGTTTCCAATGGCAATACAATTTTATAACTACAAATGTCTAAATTGCATCACATTATTAACATGCAACTAATGACTTCTGACAAAAATTGTATCATACTGCTCAGTTTGTTCATTTTATGACACTTACGTACAAGATAAGTAAACTACTGATGTTTCTTTGTTCAATACATGACAGCCCCAGCAACTGCCAACTGCTCTGTTGTAAGTGAAAGCAAGCTAGCTGAAGAGACACAAAATGTTGATAGGAGAGTTTCAGTATTATTAAACAGCTCCACTCTTTGGAATGATGATGTACTGACCTATATCAGTGGATACATAGCCAAGAAAATTACAAGTTGCATCAAGTGTGCTGAATGTGCAACTGCCTTAACCATAGAGAAGGATGACCAACCTCTCATACCTGACCACTCATACTGTCATGAAGGTTCATTAAAGTCAAGCTTAACCACTTTCAAGACCCTATGGCAAGCTTACAAGTCCATCCTCCAGTTCCTCCTCATTGGTTAAAAGTAGTAAAAGCAGCAGATAAAGCCCTTCGATGAAGATTAATTTTCCCATCTTTTTGTATGTATTCAATATGATGTATTTCAACGTGGATGAACTAGTATGGGAGCTAAAGCAGACGAAATCCGTTTATTTTGGTAGACAAACGCCTCGAGACAACCAAACGACCAATTTACACAACACTTCGCAAGCGATATTTTCGCACGTATTCCAATAATAATTGTCCAATATGGCTTCAAAACATTATTAATAACGCTTTGTTTCCAATAAAACTTGATTGGAGGAGTTTGAAAACACTGAAACGAAGTAAACTGAAAAAAAACAACAATTGCCTAATAGTAGCCCTAAGTTTTTTGTCCGGTTCCCGCGTCATCTTGGATTTATCATGAATGTCACGCTGCCGTCTTAATAAGTCTTATATTACGTCACACTCGTTAGCAATCTAGTCCTACTATATCTATGAGTAAACACAATGGAAAATTAATACCGACAATGACACGTAATTTGATAATCACTAATCGCTGTACTCGGGTCGGCACTAGATCATGGTCAACTAACGTACGCGCCCACATATTATTCTTAATATGTCAGCGGTAAGTATCAATTGACGAATATTCATGTATATGTAATTACCAATGGTAATTACCTATAAACTGTGACAAACCTCTTAAATATAGAATAACCATTGAGAATAACAAGTTTCATATGCGTATTTAACCGATATGCAGCTAAATGACGAGAAGAATTCTTCTTTCGATTTCAGGTTTGGACAGTTTTACTATTTTACACATTTATTGTTTTGTATTCTTTGTATTTTACATATATTGTCATATGCTCAACGATTTTAAATCATCATAACGATACTCGATGAAGCAATGAACAATATACAATTAACGTAACAGTGGCGTATCCAGCCCGTTTTATTTAGCTCTGCTATACAATTATTTCTTTGTTCACTAACTGTAAAAACAACAGATTTCTAAAGAAATGTTTAATGATAATATCAAATTTACATATCACGACCAAATTATCTTCCGGGCGCGCTTCACAACTGTGCAAAATTTATAAGGTAAATTTATTATTTCTACATTATCTAGACTGTATTAGTTATATGCCCCCAGTTAGTTGTAAAAATAAATACCATGTCCATGATTCACAAATAGAAAATGTTAATTTTGTTTAATACTATTTACAGATATATACATACATGATTTGTCACCAATTTGAGCAATTACAGTGTAGAAGTTTGCAAGCAAAAGTGAAGCGATACATGATTATTTTTATGTTAGATGCTTACAATTACTATATTCTCACAGAATATAATTTTTTGAAAGGCAGGTTTGCATTGCATTCTCAATGTGGGGAAACATCTCGATTTTTTGTTCTTCAAAGCATTTGACCAAATGCACTTGTATCTTCTTCTGCAGCCAGGTAACAGAGCAAGGGTTCACACCATTAGCCAAAGCAACAGCATTTGCCACAGCAAAAAGACCACAATCTGATGATCCTTTTTGATGTTGTTGGAGAATCACTTTGACGTTTAAAGAACCATCCTGTTCTTGAAGGTTTTTGTAAACATTCTGGAGTTGCCTTTTTAATGATGAATTCAGGTTGGTACTCATAGATTCAAAGACTACTATTTCACCAGTTATGGATGTAGAAACCACCCAGTGGTGACCAATATTGTGACATTGAATTGCTTGGGTCATATTTTCAGGAATATTTATGAGTTTGTTACTGTATGTGACTGCTACGACTGTGTTTAGACCTCCCTCTCCGGTACCAAGATCACCTATTAATTTCTGTGCTGCATCAATATGGTCATCTGAAAGCCATCCAGATTGTGACCTACACTTTGAAATTTGTTTCTTTTTTGGAGATAAAGACTTGTTTTTCAATGAAATTCTATTTTCTCAAGATGATTTTTTCTTGTGTATTGTATTACCTCTTGTAACATCTCCAGGGTTTTGTCCAAAACTTTCTCATCATCCAAAATGTAAAGCTCATCCTGAATTTGTTTGACTTTTTGAACACACTTATTTCTAACATTTTGGATTGAGTTGGAGTAATAATCTGTTGTGGTAAGAAAACAGTCAGAAGAATGAGCTTTTTCATAATTAGGACATTGCGCAAAGTTTCCTGGCAGTGACTTGTGTTTGATATCAGTCTGAGTTTGGCTTATATTGGCTTTTGGTTGAATTATATGGGGATCTAAAGTAAATAGGGGATGATTGGAAAACTTCCCAACATTTGGTTGTTGAAAAACAGCACAGATGTGTTTAGAAGGCATCTTCTGTCTCCTGTAATCAAGACATTGGCAGGAAGGCATTTGGTCGTTTTTTCCCAGAAAAACTTGATATGTGGATGATGAGCTTGTGACAGTGAAATGTTTTGTCGTTTCCATCTTGATGTTTTTACTTGGAATGCTAGATTCCATCCGTTCAATAATATGAGAAACAACATACTTTGGTCTATTGTGCAGAAACTTTGGGATTTGTTTGCTGTAGGACTTGTACGAATCGGATGATTTGATATTCTGTTCCTTATATCTATAAAGAGAAAATTGTAAGTACACTTATACTTTTTTGATTATCGTTAAAGCTCACTGATTGCGAACATCTTATAAAAAAAACAGTATGCACAATACTTTTTGTAGCTATCAGGCAGGAACTGTGTTAGTAATATATTGACGAGATCACTTATCGAATGATTTCGTCTGCCCTCTAAATATGAATGCTTTAACCAGTTATTTTGCCTTTCCACTCCGTTGTTTGTATAAATGGCAACGCGCAACGATTCATCCCTGTAAAAACGGACCCATTTCTAGAAAAGTAATGTATATATTTATATAGACACACATAGGTTAGATAGGTAGTATCGGTTTTGAGCAGTTTAGCGTACTGATATTAAAACGCATGAAATAGAAGAGATTAATACTTGCAAGTGTAATCCCAAAAATTCATCAAAGTATTTCTGCAGTTGCAGCGATTCTTTCCACAGATGACTGTTTTTCAATGATTCAATGTTTTCTGTAATGCGATTTGACTTGTGCTATTTGCAATATTTCGCAGCAGTTGTAATAGCTCATGTTTGTAAAGATACGTTCCATTACTGCGCTTAATCCATTTGTTCCGCGCCTTCTCTCGATGAAAATCGCAAAAACATTTTCTTCAAAAACATTTTCTTCAAAAAAGGCTATTGCTTTGTTTCGTCTTACTTTGGAATACACTGTTTGATTGCTCCAATTTCAGCTAATGAAAAATCAACCATTATGTTTTTAGGTTTCCACAGTGGATTCTCTTGACTGATGATGTTCAGGACTTCTGATATGGAATCCATGTCCTAATTTTGGGATATGAAGACAGCAACAACGATGTAACAAACATTTGATCGGACACATAAGAAAAACAACGGTAGTGCGTACCTCAAAAGATGCGAATTGGAAAACTTTAAAACATTAACTTTCCAAGTGACAACAATTGGAAACTCCATTTTCGAACTAGCATTTGGCAACAATTCCATGATGATTTCCCGCACTTTTTATGTTTAGATTCTCATAGAATATACGTATGGCAAGTTGCAATTTTACAATGTAGGAAAATGTGAATTTTTTGTTGCTCGAAAAACATTTAGCCAAATGCATTGTATCTTCTCATATGACCATAAAATCAAGAAATGGTGCATTCAATGCTGTTAGGGAGGTGGGTGCATGGAAATCGAGTATTCTTCATGAAATTATGGATAGTCATTCCAGAGCACAGAGCACCCCAACCTGACAAAGATTTTTAGTTTACAAAATTGATAAAGAAACTTGTTCATGTTAAGTGGTAATGTTATTTGCAAACACTATGACATCATGCAATGACTTTTTACAATTACATTCCACTATTTGAGAGAGTTGCATCTAAGGCAAGTTATGTTCTACAGCACTGGATCTATGCCACAAGCATAACAAAAGCAGGTGGGAGCCTTTTAAACTGTTCGAAAAATCCTTTGACAATGGAAGGAATTATATGCTCAAAGGTTTTTCTGAACAATCTGTTTTTCCATAATAGAATTTATTTTGGTGCTCAGAGATTCAATGTGAAAATTTTTGCCAGAGATGAATGTAGAGAATACCCAGTGTTACATGTTAAGATATATTGTTACCATTTCTTGTTGTAAAGTATTTTCAGGAACATATGAATTAGCTACTGTGATTGACATCACAACTTTACATTCGATATGGCTGCACCTGTACTATGATCACCTATCAATTTTTCGTGATAAATCAATATGCTCATTTGAAAACCATTCTGTTCATTTAATGAGCACTTAAGTTAGATTCTGGTTCACTGTGTGGATGGCACTGCTGAAGACAAAGAGTTTTCAAAATTTCCTGACAATAACTTTAACAAAGTTAAAAAAGTTACCACACCTGTGCATTAACTCAAATCAGAAAATTACAAGCAAGTATGGACAAACAGTCAAACACATTAAACACACAAACTTTATATTATTGTGCAGGAAGTTTGGAAAAAAATTTGAAGATACGAATCTAGGTGGGTGTGTTTATGATGTATGTTGTATCTATAATAATTTTAATTAGTACTACAAATAACAGGAAAATATTTAATATCATATCTATAATACAAATAGAGTCCATTTCTACTTTATAACATTACATTGTTCTCCTTAGGTCCAGTAAATCTGCAATTTTTGAAGTGCGGTTATTATATTGTAAAGTACTACCAATCCATTACTTCTGCAAGGCAGACATTTTAAAGAAAGTACATCTGACCAAAATTGAATTGAAATCTTTGTAATCTCTTCTCGCTTTCTCTATTGCCAATTTGCCTTATTGCCATATGTAAACGCAATATGTAGTGCGGTAAAATCATTCGTATAATGAAACATGAATATTCGTCAATTGTTACTTACCGCTGACATAATAAGAATAATATGTGGGCACGTACGTTAGTTGACCATGATCTAGTGCCGACCCTGTACTCGTATTAAAAGGTCGAATAATTACAACCTCCGCCAATTTAAAATAGCGGGAGTTCGACTATAAAAACAGCAGATTTGAGCATGCGTCAAGTCCCTTAGCCAACCAGAATTCAAAACTTCTTATATAGAATTATATTGTATGTTCCGCCCTCTGAAGATGGGCGGAATACGTGGAGAATCGCGCGAGTATGCAATGTGCGAGAAAAGGCGGTTGCTAGGTTACATAACAAATCTTGAGATTTTGCTGTATTACGATCTATGTCCAAATAGAATATTTATTATTTTTTTGGGAAATTTCTACTCCCGCCGGGCGGGAGTAGCGGGACCGCTAGCTACGCCACTGATGATCGTATCGCCATCCAAACAACCAATACTCCAATCATTTAAATTTATGTCGACGGAAATTGATGACGGTTGAATAATTTGAAATCATAATCATGATCCAAAACCAAGCCCGGGGTATTAGCAGTAAATTTAGCGCAAAAACTAAAACACATTTTTTAAGTAATGCAAAGCTTCGCTATGCTCCGCGCCGCCTGGACAACGGCAATTTATACTTTTATTATTGGTTTGAAATCGTCCGCTTTTAAAAAGCTCATTATAAGTACAATTTGTGGTGATGGAGACTTTGAGCTATTAGCAATCAATCGTCCAGTCTTCCTGATAAATTCTTGAACAAATACGAGTTCATAATTCTTGAGAAAAGTTTGATCCGGTGATAATGAGCCAAAATTGTTTCCTTGAAATCCGGATAAAATAAACGCTTGTGTGTTATCGCTAATGTTTAAAGCTCGCGACCAATCGATGTTTACGGTAGGATTTCCTAATCCATATTCCGTTTTGAATTGGTTAGAGATTCGCGACAATTCCAAGACTTGATTTCTATCCACGGTCGGAGCGTTGGTGAACGTGCTATGGACGATCGGTATCAATTCGTGAAATACCATTAGTGCAGATAATGTACTGACGAAACGTTGTGTTCTACTTTAAGTTTACGTTTTGCAAGTCGTTTATTTGATACGTGAGGAAACAAATAGAAGTCGTTGTATTCGTGCTTATTCTGTCCGTGCGCTTAATTATATACCAAAACTTTGTTTGACCATTTGAATCATAAGGGACGTCACTACTCACTTGTGAAAGGTGGATAAACATGTGAAATTTTTCTTTCAGTTCCCCGTAGTCTCGAGACATGATGAAATCTTCTTAATTTGTAGATGTTGAAGGTAATACTTGCATTGCTAGGATTCGTGCTTGGTTGTGCTACACCCTCGAATTTGTCGGATATGAATTGTAACAACACAGTTTTCCCGGCAATAACTTGTGTAAACAAATTGGTGACGTGACGCTCGATGCTAAATCCAACAAGTAATTCCTTGCGTTGATTGAACGGATTTCCATACTGATTGACGTCATTGTTTTTGAAATAAGCAAAATTCGAACCATTGGCGCCGATATGAGTATTGTTGATGACGATAGCAGGTTTGTCGCTCAATGCAAGAAAATTACTTAACTTTTAAATGTTAAATGCGGCAGTTGCATTCGTAGGATTAAGCCCTCGTTGAAATATTCCCTTCAATTTTATCGATCCACTCGTTTCGCGTTTATACACACCAAATTTACTTGTTTCTACATAGAATGCGCAATATTTACCATTGTGATGTAGGTAAATAACACGCATGTACACGTTATTGGTCTTGAATTATAATAGCACTGTTTCTCTAACGCTAACGTTTAAAAAGTCTTGCGTGATATCACGTTCGTTATCATGACCAAAAAGTAATTTGTAACGTTGATTGAACGGATTACCATATTGATTTGCGTCATTGTACTTGAAATCGGTGAAATTCGAATCACTATTGCCCAATTGCGTCGGTGCATTGTTAATCCTCATATTAGGTTTTTCATCCAAGTTTTTAAAATTTGTTAATTTATAGATATTGAATGTAAGTCTTGCATCATTAGGATTTGTATCTGGTTCTTTTACACCATCCAATTCGATTTTACCACTTGTTTCACATGTAAACATACCAAATTAGAAATTCCACCCTATTTCAATTTTACCATCCGTTTTACGCGTAAATACACCAAATTTAGAGGTTTCTATCGCGTATTTCACATCCCGTTGATTTGGTGCGGTAATGTAGAGCGTATTTTCGTAAAATTTGATCATGGGAGCAAAGCGTGTAAGCGACAAGGAAATAGTTTGAGCATACACGATGTCGAACCTAAGATTTTTCGATTCGCCTTCGGTTGTAACATTTTGCCAATCGACGGACGTGAATTCTTGACAAAGTCCCTCGGATGCCAGCTATCTTTCAACTCGCCTCAATTACCTGTTGTTGGAACAAGATGCAGCAATTCCTTGCTCGTAATTGCATACCCCTCTATATATACAAGAACAGATTTGCCGGTCGATCGCACCATGTTCCTTTTCGAACTGGATGCGTCAAGACACCTTCTCCGTTGATCATTAAACTGGTCGACGGATCAAGACAAGATCCAAATTTTGGCATGAAAACATGAAACTGCTTTTCCGAAACGTGAAGATATGATTTTTCGCCATTGAATTGTGTGATATCGCTTTGAGGTAACTGGAATCAATCTTTTGATTCTTGCCTAACTTTTTGTTGTACACGCCTGTACGAAAGATGACTTTGGCAAAACAAATGAGATCCATCTTTCTCTCCTTGCAAGATCGATAACACCGACAATCTAAACCTATTTTTCTTTATTTTCAATTTTTATACGTATGTCTAATTGAAATTCGTACCACGGTGAGTAAGTAGCATTCTCTAAATTTAATTCGCCTAAAATCTTCCGAATTCGACGCGTCTCTGTAAATTCATACGTGGAAACAATACCCCAAAATGGCCGATTTTTACCACTTTGATAAAAAAAATTTAAATATATTCAAACACGCAACCACACGATTACGTCAAACTACACCCCCGTATGCCTCACGTGGAGTTTTACCAATTTGGGAAAAACTTGTTAAAATTACACCCTATTACTGCTGACGATGGTGTAGTTATAATGTTGAGATACGTGTAACTTGGTATTGATAAAATTATATGAGATTCTTGGTGAAGTTTGTTACCCCCAATCACAATTACTGAGCATGGCTACAAAGTTATTTGATAATTATTTGAAGCCTTTGTTGCACTTAATGAGTGTTAGTGTTAGTGATCTTTTATAATAAAGACGAAATGCACACAAACATAACATGCATATCATACCTAAAACTTACGAACTTTATGGATCAGCAATATTAAGCATATTTTTGCATACACCTTCTTTTATTTTCATTTAACATCTTTTTGAAATTTTTGACTGCAACTGTGAACTCAACAGACAAGAGCCACTTTTTAAATCATCCTAATATTGCTAAGAACAATTATACTGTTCCCGTCATTTTTATTTAAAATTATTTGATCACTTGATGGTGAATGATAAACGAAAAGAAATTTTTATATAGACTTTAGCAGGAGTGGTTAATGTCTCAGTGATGTTGTAGGTATGCTCGGCCCCTCTCCACCAAAATTTTTTTAGAAATTTTAGATTTTCTTTGGAAATGTGATGACAATTAAATGTTCTAAAATTCTTAGAATAAATGCCGAAAAGTAAGCATTTCCAATTTTATCCGCATTTTATCCCCTCGTCCTCGTTTTGTCCCCTCTTCCGCGTTTTATACCCTTATCCGGGTTTTTTCCCCTCTTCCGCATTTTATCCCCTTATTCGGATTTTATCTCCTCATCCACATTTTATCCTCTCTTCCGCGTTATATCCCCATATCCGCCATCCGTATACGCAGGTTCATCCGCAATCCGTATCTGCACTTTATCCTAACTCGTTCAACTTTCGCGATTGTCGGCGGCTTTGACATATTCTTGACTTGAAATCACTCTCT